GTGAGTATGATTATAGTGGCAGCTGGTCATTATATGTAGTTGTAATATCAGCTGTGAGAATGACTATAGTGGCAGCTGGTCATTATATGTAGTTGTAATATCAGCTGTGAGTATGACTATAGTGGCAGCTGGTCATTATATGTAGTTGTAATATCAGCTGTGAGTATGACTATAGTGGCAGCTGGTCATTATATGTAGTTGTAATATCAGCTGTGAGTATGACTAAATGACCAGCTGCCACTAATATGTAGTTGTAATATCAGCTGTGAGTATGACTAGTGGCAGCTGTTCATTATATGTAGTTGTAATATCAGCTGTGAGTATGATTATAGTGGCAGCTGGTCATTATATGTAGTTGTAATATCAGCTGTGAGTATGACTATAGTGACAGCTGGTCATTATGTGTAGTTGTAATATCAGCTGTGAGTATGATTATAGTGACAGCTGGTCATTATCTGTAATTGTAATATCAGCTGTGAGTATGAATATAGTGACAGTCAGTTGTTATCTGTAGTTGGAATATCAGCTGTGAGTATGATTATAGTTACAGTTAATTAATAGTCCATGGTTGGAGTAAGGGACTTTACAAGGAATTCCACTTGTTCTATTATTGTAAGAAGTGTGTTTTTTTTATGTTAATTTCTTGACATATAGACTTTTAACACTTTTTAACTGCCATTAATTCATCTGACAGTCTGCAGGTGTGTAGTCCACAAAAGATGCCACAAGGTTGTTGTGACTAAGTGTACAGGAATGAAAGATACCAACAATGAAGAGGTGAGTAATGAGTCAAGCAATTCCAGTTATATTCTAATACGTGTTCTTCATGCACCCAATTATATAGTTACTTCTACCAGAAGAACTACAATAATAATTGCAATCAATAGTAAATACTCTTAATCATGATAATCTACAACACCTTTATGACCAATCTGTCCAAGGTCATCAGTTGGGTACCACACCTGACAAGGTTAGGCATACTTAGTGATATTAACCAAGCACCGTATCAGAATTGTCACATGTAAATCTTCATTTACCATGCCTACCACACTTGGCCAATGTAGTTATTACTATTCAAGAAATTTAGTGTTATTTAGTAATTTAACTAATACTATAAAGAACTAAAATACATATTGAATTATCTAAACTTTATACTATAAACACATACAACTTATGTCTTATTTATGTGGCAAGTTCCAGTTAGATAGCCACAAAACAATAGCACAACCTGTGTGAATATATGACCACTATTGTATCTGGTCTAGTTATACCCATATAAACTCACTAAAGTATTTGAGGGTGACCATACTAAAGAAAGTCTGACCAATGGCTAGACTTGAAAGACCAGGCTTGTAATGGTAACGAATCAAAGATGACCAGTTATTTAAAGCGGAAGGTAAGTTAGCATAGAATATCAAAGAAAGTGAAACATAACAGATACAATTTTAAATATTTATGGTTGGACAAACATTAGAATGTGTAAGATTATTAAAACCGGAAGGATAATTTATGATAACATAACATAACAGATACAATTTTAAATATTTATGGTTGGACAAACATTAGAATGTGTAAGATCAGGATAAAGAAAGTTATTTAGAACCTATAGCAACTGTGTTACTCATGTGACCCGTACAAGAGTTGATGACTACATTGTGGTAAACAATTGATCCAGCATAACATTTGGTGAATTTGAAGAAAATTTTAAGTGTGAAAGGTTAAATGCTTAGGTTTATGTTGGAGTATATACGTTTAGGATGAATAAATTTATATTCTGTGTTGAGCATGCTAATTATGTGATATATCCTGAGCCAACAACCATAGTGTGGAGAACAGACTTACATAACTTGTGTTAAGCAAAGGCAGAGACAGTTGAACCTTGTGGAACAGCCTGGTAAAGGGAAGGGAGATGCCTGACAGTAGAGCAAATAGGAAGTTAGTGACAGATGGACCAATTTCAAAAGCCACACTCTTCCATGCAGATAGAACGACGAGGTAGAATGATGTCTATGATATGACAGGAAAGGATTACCAGATGGGAAAGTCTGGTTCAACAGGTGATTGACTGGACTAATCCAAATGTGAAGGTGGAAGGACAGGATCCCATGATGGAAAGGAAAATGACAACATGTATTTTAACATAAACAACCCTGTATAACAAACTTTTGAGAAATAATTAAAGCTTTGAAGTATCTAGATTAGGGTGTAAATGCAACTTTTTCATGGTGTGATGTTAGTACGTTATCTCTCTCTGTATTGTAGATTAGTTTCATAGACATTATATGTAAGTAACTGTTACATTCATAACACAATACAGAACAAAATTAAACTTAGAATGATGTCTAACTATTAATGATATTTTTTGATAATATCACTTGATGTTCAACTAGTTCTGGAGGCCTAGGTTAGTCTTACATGTACTTTATGAATCAGCATGGTAAATTAATAATTATACATGTAATTATAATTAAAAAAATAATCTAGAAGTTGTTGTAACATTATAATTACTAAAACTTAATTGAAATAATTATATAAAATGTAGGTTATTACTCAAAGCATAAAAATTCACCAGTTTATTCCTACATTAGATTCACACTTGTTATATGTCTAAGTATTCGTGTATTTGTAACAGTGTATGTTCAGCATCACAAACTAATAGATGTTACAAAATTTATTATACTCATTAATAAATTAATGTTAGTTGCTGATTCCTTAGCTAATCATTTAACCAGTCTAAAGAAATCCTTGTATAATTCTCCCAAAACATTCTGAGTGACCAGTGATCACTATCTGTGTAACAGGGTTCTGTGTTGGATTTTATAGTACAAGCTAAGAGTTTATGTAAGACATTCAAGCTGTTCTTCAATTCAAAATTTAATACATTATTTTCACCTCATTATTAAGTTTCTTTTTTGTTTGGAAAATAAGGATATTTTGACAATAAAATGAGATGGTTTCTAACATTAATAACAGTAATAATTGGTCAGTTATTTTTTGGGGTCTTCTTGTTGTTATATAACTCCCTTATCAACCATACTTGAGATACAACCAGACACAACAACCCCTTCATATTTACTCCTATACTAGACCAAAAAAAAGAAATACCCCCAATACTGTGTGTGTTAGGCCTACCTGTTGACTTTGTATTGTGAATGAAGTATAAAGTTAACATCAGTCTTTTTGTACGGTCCCTGAAAATCAGTTTGATTGAATGAAAATAATGTCCCTAGCTGTACTGGTAATTACCCTTTCCTGCATTTTTAAATCTGCATTGACTATTCGTAGCCATCCAGTTGTGTAACTGTTAATTAAATTTTGATAATGAGTTATAGAAATAAAAGAATGTTAAGCTGTTGTATCTTGACTGTGAGTTTTTTACAAGTTTTTATAAAGGAGACTATTATACATTTGCTTTAGTAGTAAAATTCTAGTGATGTCATTATATATATGTACATGTGCAAAGTTGAGCAGCCATAATTCAGAGTCCAATCTATTAAATTGTATCTAAATTATGGTTTAAGTAAAACTGTTTTTCATGGTGTGATGTGAGCAGATTATCTCTCTGTACCATAGAGTAGTTTCGTACACAAATAATATGTAACTGTTATGTTCATAAATGATTTTGTTGCACTGCAAGGTTAAATTTATGACTAAATTTCATGTTTTACTTACATTATTTTCATGAATCAGATAGTATTGTATCTTTATATCTTATTGGTCAAGGTTGGGGGGGGGGCAATCTCAAAGTGTTGGGTTAATGCATTATTTTTAGGTGTAGATAAGTAATGAATATGAACTTACAGCACATACCAATTTCTGTGTAATGAATTCTATAACTCTATATGGAACTTTTGGGGAGGGGGAGGCATCAATACGAACTTGGATTTAAAAAATGTTATGAATGTCATGAAAGTAAACTAAAAATCTTATAACTATAGCATTGTATAAGAATATCCAAAATCTTCATGGCACACATTTTAAACCTTCCTTTTAATTGAGTTTCCGGAGGATGTATGGTGATGTATTTTCACTTGAAAGTTCATGAGACAGAAGGTAGTGGTGAATAAAAAATATCACCCCCATCTCAGTAACTGTAACACTTAAGTTTGATGTTTTGTTTTTAAGTATATTGATGCAGTGCTCAGACAGAACTTGCTAATTCCTTTATCAACACTTATGAAATGTCAAGTTATTTTATTTTGTTGAATTTCATGCAAAGTTAGTAACTCAAGGAATATCTACACTAACCATCCCTAGAAGTGATAGACTAGAGGGAAGACAGCTAGTTAACATCACCCTCTGCCAACTCTTAAGCAATTTTTTACCAGTAAAAAGTGGGGGTGATTGTCACATTATAATGACCCCCTCCCCATATGAAAGGGTGAACATGTTCTGTGAAGGAATTCAAACCCACAATCTGTTGATTTTGCAAGTTGAGTTCTAAAATTGCCATTAAGCATTTATCCAACCCAAAATAAAAGTTTGTCTTTTCTGAATTTAAGTAGTGTTTAAAAACAAGAACAGAAATTCGGAATGGCAAACACAACTTTTATGGATTATTATCTGATTTCAATTTTTATCTATCACAGATTGGTGGTAGTCGTTTCAACATCAATATTCCACATCGATTTAAGGTGTATAACTACAAAATGCCAACATTTTGTGATCACTGTGGTTCTATGCTGTATGGATGCATTCATCAAGGTATTCATTGTGAAGGTCAGTGTTTAATAATATTAGTGATCTTAATTTCCCTTATAAATTTGTAAGATGTCTGTAGTAAGTTAATTGTAAAGATTGCCTGCCTACAATGGTGATGTACTTCAGTTCTGAAGTCCTGCTAAACCGAGGTCACAGTAAACATTTTTCTTTAACATAGATATTTTCTACTTGGTCAGTTAAAAAACAAACTTCTTTAAAAAGAAATAAAGCACCATTAGGTAACATTTCCTTATCAAGAAACTGGACTGGCTGATGAGAGCTGGTACTGCATGGTGTGACTTTTGTTGTTACATACAGGGTACACTCATGAAGTTCTGGAAAGTAATGGGCAAGAATCTATAAATTTCAGTTTTCAAAAAACATCTCTTTCTAAGTCATGGTCGTGGTAAAGTCCTAAGATTTCAGTTTCAATAAAATACCCCCCTCCCCCTGGATAATCAACTAAAGTAAAAAATTAAAGTTAGGTTATTGAAATTGAGTTTGTTTATATTTCCCGTTGTCTATTATGAATCTTGTACATTGCAAGACCCGAGACTGTTGCAATTTCCATTGACAGGCAAATTTGGGGAACAAAAATGGCAGGTAAATTCAGGTTTTATCCTACATGGTATGAATCGGGAGTCCTGTAAGTTAGAATGTGGGTCTTAGAAACTCCTGGAATTTTTGTAAAAATCTGTTTTAACCTTGGCATTAGCACATAATGTTTTAAGTTATAACTTCTTTAAAGCTGTGTCGTAAGAGGTTTGTTGTACACTGTGTTATGAAAATGGTATTTACTTCATGAATGCAACGCACAATTACCGAAGCTTGCTGTGGTTTGTAAAAAAAAACAGTGCCTTGAACACTGACTGAATGAAAATTTCTTTTTTCTTCATTAATAACTTTTACATAAATGATTTTGCTCCCTGTTTGTTGTTGAAGTAATGCACTGCATAAAGTGAATACTTAATTGTTTTTATAAGATAATATACTGTATATATGAAAATAATTGTGTTCACAAAGATACTCTTTTGTTTCTGATTGGCAGAATGAAAGTATGTTTTTTTATTTTTGTTTTCTCATTTCTCTCTTTGCAGCTTGTAAAATGAATGCACATAACAGGTGTCAGAAGAACGTAGCCAATAACTGTGGAGTGAATCCAAAAGAGATGGCTAAAGCATTAAGTGCCTTAGGTTTTTCTGCTGATACTTTGATAAACAAGAAGGTAGAGCCTTGTTTTACACATGTTCAATAACTTTGTTTACTATAAGTAAGAAATTGCATATTTAGAAATGATAAATATCTTTGGACAGATTACTTGAGCTCTTTTGATAAGCAGACCTTTCTTTTTCTGAGGTTTCTACTCCTCTTGAAAAAGAACATCTGCCATTTATAAAAGCATTTGAATGTTCACTTTTTTTTATTGTGATTTATCTACTTTTCAGTACCTCCTTATGGCCAAACTGTAGTACTTGTGTATAGTTCTAGTTGTTCTTTAGTTATATAAGCTGTGTCCTATGTGTGAGTGAGAATTAAACTATCTTAGTCTGTCACACCAGTTATTTTTAAAATAATTGTACTTTATTATTGGTACATAGGTGTCGTTGTCAGAAAGAAAGAGAGAGAACATAGAAGAAGAAGAAGAATGAAAGTCTATTGAAGGATAAATCCTGTTGTGTTCCTCGTCTTTTTCACTCCCATATATGACAGTACAGGACACATGGGACAATAATAGAACAGAGACAAATAAAATAAGAAGTCTAACAATTTAAATTGATCAACTTACATGTTCATATTATTATATGCTTAATTCTGAATCTGGAAGATTGATTTACTCTGAATGTTTATAAAGGTGTTACATGAAAAATACTTATTATGTGTAAAATTGTTTTATATACAAATACTTTAAGGTATAACTGAAGTTGGCAAACCAAAGAAGCTAATTAAACCTAACCAATGTAATGAAAATTAAGCCTTTCTTTATGTTATATATAACCAGTTACTTTTGTGCCAACTGATATTAACATTGAAAGTATGTTACACGTGTGTATAGAATATCTTTGTGGCTGTAAATACTTTTTTAAAAGTTCTAGTTCAGTATAACACTCCAATGAAATATAAGTATAATCATATACAAATGTTATTTTATGATATATAAATGAACCAATATATATATATGTTTACAAATTTTATTAAATTTTTATATGTAAATAAGCATATATATTTTTCTAAATGTTGTTATCATTCTCTTGACAAATGTGATAACATATTTTTATGATAAAACAAGTTCCAAAATATATTTTGATCCATAACCATTTACTTTTATAATGTTTCTTTCCTGTTTGCTCTGCTTAAAAGAATCACATAAGATCAAGTATCTTTGTATGTGTTGAATAATATTTTTTCAACTTGTACGGTTTCTCAGAAACATAATTTCTGTAAGACATTTGTTATGGATTCTTAAGTCTTTAACTACTGTGCAAAGGTTATTTTTTAGAAATGCTATAAGCAAAAAAGGACATATGTTGTAATATTTCATTACTTATCTAAAATGTAAAACTGGTATACTTTAGATATTAAACGTTTGAAGAGGAATATCCTTTCTTCATGGTTTTGCAAAATTCCAATCTTGCATATGGTTAATATTATACTTTTCAAGGCTAGAACAAAGGTTATGTAGTGTGTCCATGACAGAGAAAGAGTTAATGATAGAATTAAGTTGTGAGTCCATAAAAGAAAATGTTTCCCAATAGCATTGAGCGGTCATCATATAAAGATGCCTTTAACCAAACTGTTTACTGATCAATTTAACCTGTACCTTCAAACTGTTGATTATATTCAGTACTTGAATGGTTAGAAATAATTTTTGTTAAGAAAATCGTGCATGAGGGAACTTTACAAGAGTGAGATTTTGCTGACTAAATTACTCTCGGTGGAAATATATATAGTTCCAGTTGTAAAGCTGGTTTTTTACTTTTAATATCTGTTTTAATTTCAATCTAGTTAGTGACTGATCTGTAAGGTAATTAAATTTATATATACATAAGAGTATTAGTTTAGTGTATACATCTTTTGTTATATTTATGGGGCTCTCTTTGTTAAGTAGTTACAATTTAACCACTCATCATAATGTTCTACTAAACACCCTAACTGTTGAATGTGTTTTCTACATGTTAGTAGTGTAAGAATAAAGCAAGAATAAGTGATAAAAAGATGTTAATGACATGCAGATAGATATCATGTAGTGACATTTGCTAGAGATGAGAGAGGGTAACCAGTAAATACTTAATTCAAAGTACTTTTTTGAGCAGTTTTTTATAACATTATCTACTTCACATTGTAATCTTGCTGGTTATAATGAATATTAAGTTATATCCTTAACAATTTTTTTTGTAAATTATATAAAAGAGTGTAATGTGATTGTTAAAAATATTTTGTCATAAATGGTTATATCAATAAATTTTATATATAACAACACATTCTATAAACTTCAATAATCACTTGTTCTGGATGATTTATTCTTATTTGCTTGTTTACTGTTTATTTTAACATTAAAGGTTTATACAGGAAATCTAATGTTAAACTAAATGTGGTTATTAAAAGGATTTGCTTCTAAAATCTAGAACTGATTTGTGATTTAATTTCTTAATTCAGGATATTTTATGTTAAATTAAATGTGGTTATTAAAAAATTGCTTGGAAAATCTGGAACTGACTTGTGTTTTGTTTTTAAGTTTGATTATGAATGATATCCCTTGACTGTTGTTTTGGAAGTACCAAATATTAATATTTATTCTCTAAAGACTGAATGTATATTATTGTAGTGTTCTTCACTTAAACACCATTAGTACTGATAAAAACTGTGAAATTTGGACTAACTACTGTAATGTCTCTAGAGAATAAATATTAATATTATTCAATATAAAGGTTGTAAGCATGAACTTGAATCTACAAACTGACCTGAAAGTGATGTCAAGGATGATTTTGAAGAAAAAAATATTTCTCTGTGAATATACTTTTGACTAAGCTACATTTGTTAACCTAGCAAGTTTGAACCTATAGATTTAACTTGGTGAAACATAAAATACCTGTGAAGAAAACCATTAAGCTCATTGTATTGTAAGAGAAACATTTTTATTTTACTGTTATTATTTTGTGAAATTGCAACTTAAATGGGTCTTTTCAAATTTGTATTATACAATTATTTGTAAAACATATACATTGATTTAGAAGTCTTTAAATGTTACATATATGAAACAGAATTAAAATAAGACCACAGTCCAGACAAGGGATAATTCACCTTTGTCAAGCTATATTATCCATTCACACAATAACAGTATTGAGCAAAATTTTATAAGTGTACAAAATAATAAGTTTGCTGAAACATCTTCAAAACTGAATTTGGATGAATTCTTGGTGTCTTGAAATAGACAACATGAAATACTTTGAGGGCTTATAATGATAAAATTCAGGGTTTGTTTTTTGTGGTGGACATGGTACAGGTGGTCCATTTTACAGTTTTGCACTTAAACCAACCTAACTAATAAAGTTACTTTCTGTTTAGATTGCTGCTTATCCAATCATCCATGGTTTTGGAGATACCAAACCAAACATGTTTGTTAAAAACAGTAAAGAAAAATTAATTATACAATTACAAACATAGATTTCGTTTAAGATAATAAAGTACTTTAATTCCTTTTAAAAGTATTGTGGTATCAATTTGGAATTGATGTTAACTAGAAATGGTTTTTCATAGAGTGAAATTAATTTGAAAAAAGTAACCAATTTCAGATATTGAACCCTCTATGCACTGCTTCTGTCTGGAGTTTAGAAGTGAGCGAGGTTTTGATTTCTGTATATTACTTATGTTTTTACCTGGAGCTTAAAGTGGGTGAGGTTTTTTTCTCCATGTGTTGTTGCTGTTTTTACATGGAGTCTAGTAGCCAGTGATGTTTTGGTTTCTGTATATTGCCACTTTTTTATATGTAAAGTGGGTGTGGTTTGGGTCTTTGCATATTGTCACTTTTTACATAGAGTGTAAAGTGGGTGTGATTTGGATCTCTGCATATTGCCACTGTTTCATACATAGAGTGTAAAGTGGGTGTGGTTTAGGTCTCTGCATATTGCTACTGTTTTTACATAGAGTGTAAAGTGGGTGTGGTTTTGGTCTCTCTATATTGTCACTTTTTTTTACATAGAGTGTAAAGTGAGTGTGGTTTGGGTCTTTGCATATTGCTACTGTTTTTACATGGATTTTAAAGTGGGTGTAGTTTTGGTCTCTGTATTGCAACTGTTTTTACATGACTTAAGACACATTATTTCAGTATTTCACAGATTTTCCTTCAACTAAAGACTTTTGCCATATTATTCAAAGATACTGGCAACAGTGGCTATTTGGTAGTCTCCATTTAGAGCAAATCACATTCAACTTATGGTACTTAAAACTATTTTGACACTACAGAATCCATTTATTGTGAACGCTTTTTCATTTTTGTGTTCAAATTTACAATAGTTTTTGTCTGTCTTGTATACATAGGCAAGAACACATAAGAACAAGGACATTTTTTTGTGGGAAGGAATTTGGCTTGTTTGTTTTTATACTTTTAGGGTATACTTTGTAAACATTAGAAATGTTAATGCTAATAAAATTTGTTCCCAAAGTAATCTCTAGTTTATAGTTACTACACCAATTTTAATATTTTTATAAATAATAGTTCAGTCATGAAAAGAAGTACAAAACTTTTTCATATTATTAGAATTTACAAACATTGACTATTAAATCTAATAATGTCAAATTTATACATACTGATACTGCATATTTGTGTCCTATTCTATTACTTTCCTATTTCTTAGGTTGTGTTACCCCCCAAGTAAATTTCAAAAACATCGATATTACATTCAGGTGAAAATGTAAGTAAACTGTGGGTAACATCGCGGACTACAGTCTGTAGTGTAAACTTGAAACATTTTCCAGTGATGTTTTCTAACAGATAATGAAACCAAGTTTATCCATTATGGCCTGGAATGTTTTTACATTTTCAAAAAAAAAAAGGGTGATTTGTTGGTATCGTGTTGAAATTTCTTTCATTAGCTAAATGTAGATTATTTTAAACATGATGAATAGTAAAACGGCCTGGCATGGTCAGATGATTAGGGCACTTGATTTGCAAGTCTTATTGAAGGGGATATACTTACAATTTTAAGATTAATTCACAAAATTAAAATGTATTTAGTGAAATTCATAGCAATTTGAATAAAACTGGTGAATAGAAACGTGATACAATGTTTTTCATCATTACTATAAAGTACATTGTTCCCATGAGAGTTATGTGTTCAAAATTAATATCGGTGATAAACTGAGCTTAAATGTATTTGTTTTCTGTTGCATTTATTTATTATTGTTTTGTTTCATTCTATACAACCGATAAAACATGAAATGTTAGTCACTATATAAAATTGTGTATTTACAAGAACTTTGAAAACAATTTAACAAAATTATATTATTTATGTAAAACCCAGCAATATTTAGAGATCATACATAAACGTCAAGCTAATTTTCATGCGTGAAAACCCCTAAATCAAAGTGAAAAATGGGAAGCAATACAAAACTGACATCTGTATTTACATAAGACCATTGTTTTTATTGATTAAAACTCAAATATTTTTATAGACAAACAACTAGAACTAATGAGTTTATTGTCGAGATTACTTTATACCAGTAGGATAAAGATCTCCCATAAACATTTTGGATTAAAGATAGCAAGCAAGTATTCCGTGTTCCTGTTTTTCCTATTTCATTGCATACTTTGGCTAGAGATTAAAATTTGGCTTCTTTTTGCATCATCCCAAGTATAAGATACAGAAAGCGATTATTTCAGGTTTTATGGACTGGTAAAAAATAAATTAATGACCTCTGATCTTAAATTCACCATAAAGACTGGCAGCTCTCTCTAACTAACATTAAAAACATAGCTTACAACACTGCCCCTTCTTTAATGGTGAACTCTCTTAAAAATCCTAATGTAAGAAACAAAATGCTACAGTGAATTGTTAATTCTCTTTTGAGGACCAAGATAAACAGATGGGATGGTCTCTTGACACTGGGAGAGTTCTCAGAGTAGGATGTCAGGTGAATCCTTTGGTGGCTCCAACCTTTATGATACTCTAGTAGTAGTTTCAACAAGAACTATGGGTTCCTCAGCAGGTTGAGTTTCTGCTAATTAGTTCAACTTGGGAATTATTTAGTTGACTATTCTCTTATTGATATACTTCCAAAGAGGATCATGATGGATAGTATTTGTCTCGGGTTGCTTGTCCCTCTGGAATGTGCAAACCGCATCATTCTTTTTATTATAACATATGACCCTTACCAACAACTACCTAAGTATGGGATTCATCCTTTCTTGTGATGAGGATTGTATAGCCATACCATGTCACCTCGATGAAATTCAGTCTTATCAGCATTAACTTTTAGCAACTTTTAATTGCATCACTACCTGATTTAAAAGCTTCTCAAGTAAAAAAAAACATATCCTGTGTAATACTCTTCTGATTGACTGTTTTCTGGACAAGGGTAGAGAAAGTCTAATGGCACTTTCAGTCCTCTCCCAAACATCAATGATGAAGTGTTGCCAGTAGCTTCATGCACTGCTGTATGGTAACTCATCAGTAACAGTGGAAGATCTTTATCTTATGTTCTTTTTGTTCATCCAGATATATATATGGCTAATTGATTTAACACCTTCCGTGGTTTGCTCGAGATAACTCGTGTGACCTCTGTGTTTCAAAAAACTATTTGCCCTAGTTAATTAGATAAACTATTTCTCGCGTTATTTGTAATTAATTCCCCAAATTTATTCGCATTACATTGGAAATGCTGCTTGTGCTGATTTCTGTCGGATTTATTCTGAATCATGTGTCATAAACACTAGAAAAGCATTCCTATTGTCTACTGTAGTTTCATTGAAATAATATAGAACATGTATAACTACAGATATGTAACATATATTTATTGAGTATATTTTGTGCACAAATATAATAACAGATT